ATGAGCTGAATAAAGGTTACTGCTTTGCTACACCTCTTGTCGCGTCCTCTCCCTTCGCTCCAAGATGTAAAACTACCTAAACTCTATCTGATGCTATTTCTATTCTGGAAACTTGGAGGAGGAGTACTAGCAAATTATCTGCTCCACAGAAAAGTTAAAGGCCATACTTAAATGAGAAAATTCAAAGAAGATAGCCACAATTTGCAAAAGAATGTGTGGCATTGGAGAGAAGTAGATTTTCCATTCCTTGAGAAATTGTTTTTGAAGCACAGACTCCATTTTGTTTGTCTTTACTCTTCCAAGCCTCATTTAGATGTATCGTTATACAAAGATGTGAGTATGCTGCAGTAAAAATATTCAAAGCTTTTTTCAGCCCTAATGAGGTGCTAACGTTTCACTCATTAGCATCTCATTAGGGGTAAAAAAAGCTACATTCGGTGTATATGACCCCTAATTTTCAGCCTCTTTTAGGGGGGGTGGAGAGTGCATCTTATCCTCTGAAAAATAAGGTACTTTTAAAAATTCATAAAAGAGCAGAAAGAGTACATAGTATGAAATAAAAGCATATTGTACTAGTAAAAGGCAAGTAGTTTTGTTTAGATGCAGTGCTAAATCTTGGTTGAATGATATCAGAGCAGGCTAGTTTGCTGGCTTCTTCTCTAAAGAATGTTGGAAGTTTCCACTTTTTAAAAATTAGCTATTACTTAAAGCAGGAGTGTCAAACTGGTGACCCACAGGCTGGATGCACACACAAAGGCCACATCCACCCCAGCTCTGCAAAGAGGAAAAATGTCACATGACAATAACATGATGCGGCAAGTTTGACACCTGTGACTTAGAGTGTGGCAAATGTGAAACTGATTAATTATAACTGTAAAGTAGCAAAAACAGCCTAAACTGGTTTAGGCATGTCTTCTCCATCTGCCAGTCACAGCAGAGATATAATTGACAAGTATTTGCAAGCTTATGTCAGTTAGAAAGAAGAGGTCAACAAAGTCAGATGGCTTTAAACCTCTACATATCTGAAAGCAGAACACCACCACGGAGCAGCAAGCCAGAACACAGGTAATAAACGCAGGATAAGGATTGGAACCAGTGGTGGGTTTCGGACCCCGGCGCAGCCGGTACACTGCACATGGAGCTGGGCATCCTAGATGCCATGTGTGCTGTGTGCGCCTGTACACACCTGCACACACCACCACCCTGTGGCACACAGCTGGCTGGTGGAGGTTGCGCAGCCACTGAATGCTGCACACACATGCGCAATGGGCCGATCATGTTATTAAACGGCCATGGAACGCGGGTGGGCCAAATGAGCCACCGTATCGGTACGGTGGCCATTTCTCCCAGCTACTACCGGTACAGACGAACCCACCACTGATTGGAACTGAGATTATCAAATTATATGCTGATGTAGGAATGGGAAAAGCAAAGGGAAATCATCAAAGTCATTAAAAAGCGAAAGTTAGAATATTTTGGACAAGCAATGCAACACCCAGAGAAATATGGCATACTTCACTTAATCTTCCAGGGAAAAATTGAAGGCAAAACGAGGTCCAGGCATGACAGATATGGCACAAGAAGAAGAAGAAGAAATAGGAATGGGACATAAGGCTAACTGAGCCATGGTGAAAAGACCAGTTTTTTTCCAAAACAATGTTAGATATCTAAAACAGCATTGAAATAAAAATGTTTGTTGATTTGATTTCGAGAAAAATAATTTCTTTGCAGGATAGGAGCAAACAAGATAACAAGCGAGGGAGGGAAAAGTCTTGCTTATGCCATCAAGAAAAGTAAAACTATGTATGAAATTGGGTAAGTAAGGCATTTTTTAAAAAATGTTTTGGACAGAAATCAGTACATGTAGTTTTCATTTAATGAGGCTAATGGGAACCAGAAACTGTCATTAAGTGATATGGTCATAAGCCAAAAAACTATGTGAGCTTCCTGCCTAGTGACAACACTTCCAGGAGTCCAATTGTGGTTTTTAAGCAAGGGCCACATGGGTCACTAAATGAGGACCTCACATGTCCATGACTTCCTATTTCCAGCTGACTTCCCCATTGAGTTTGTTTGCAAGAAACTGGCAGGGAAACTCACAAGTAGTGATCATGACTGTGGACACTGCAATAACCCAAAGTCATGATCACCATGTATGAGGTCTGGTCATTCAGCACCATCGTAAGTTTGACCCATCGCTGAACAAGTCGTTGTTAAACAAAGACAATCTGTAACTTCATTTTAACATTTATGTTGCTAAGTAGTCTAGCTTTATTAAACCTCATTTCTAATCCCAGCTTTTTATCTACTTGCAAATTTGTTTTCCAAACGAAAGAGTATAGATTTTTTTATTCATAATGTTAAACCACGTGCATGGGAATGCCTTGATTTATGGCCACATTTTGAGTCCAGAATTTCCATTATAAGCCACTGCCACATAAAGCGAGTCATCTTTGACTGGAACTGATTTTACTGCATTTTTGTAGCAGTCATAAGAATCATGTGGTTATAATTCAAGTCATGCAGTTGCTAGTGCAAATCCAGTTAAGCAATGGTTTTTTTCGGAAACCAGCAAAAAACATTACAAATCATGATCACAGGATATTGCAACAGATTGTAAACCAATTTGCTAAGTATCCAAATTATGATCATATGACTGCAAGGATGAGATGACAGACTTAAGTTCAAATTTAAGTTGTAACTGATTTTTTCAGAGATTGCCATGAATTCACACAGTTATTAAATAAATGGTGGTAAGTCAAGGGCTACCTACGTATAACTTATCTATAGATTATTGAAAAAGGCACAATTGACCTAATTCACATATAATGCTAAGTCTGACCCTACTATTGTCATCCTAAGCACTTTCCATGCATGAGGACTTCAACTTCCTGAATTCTCAACTAGTGTGATTATGTCTGTGGAGATTCTCAATCATCCAGGACCTGGTTGTCCCAAAGCGCTTTCTGAGCAGAAAGTCTAGTTGCCTTTAAAAAAAAAAAAGAACCTTAGGGATAGTGTGATTCTGACGGCTTATTGTAATGTACTAAGCTAAAAATTAGGAGATATGAGTTCTAGTCCTGCCTTATGCATGAAAGCAAGCTGGGTAACTTTGGCCAGTCACTTTGCCTCAGCTTAATTTGCCTCAAAGACTTGCTATTGTGGGGGAAAAGTAAGAATAGAAAGGAGTATTAAGTATGCTTGCTGGGTTGAGTTATTTATAAAAATAATAAAGGTAGGGTTAAAAAAATATTTCTAAAAAAACCATGATGGTAATATTCTTTAATGTACCTGGTCTTTTTGTCTTTGGCAGAATGTGGGGTAACAAGATTGGGGATGAAGGAGCAAAGGCTTTTGCAGAGGCACTGAAAAATCACCCCACCTTAACCAATATCAGGTAAAATCTTTATGAGTATACATGCCACCCAAAAGGCCCTCTAGATTTAGAATTGTTCAATGAGCTTTGCAGAACCAGCATTAGCCCTTTGTGCAGAACTTCAATATTCTGGTGTCACTTTCAATGTTACCTCTCTTTTCTCCTTCATCCTATCATCCAGACAGAGCATCACAATGCCATTTTTAAAATTCCCAACAATACCTTTGCCAGGGCCTTATACTAACGCAGTTATAGCATTGGGAAAAATTCAAAGCTTGGCTAGATAGAATATCTCTTTTCTGCCATTAAGTAATTTAGATTTTTGCAACCCTAGATATGATAGCCCCAAACATGGATTATATAATCACACTCTGTGATCCTCCTCTTCACGTATAAGTACAGCTCTGAGACCCCAGTAGATCGACCATCCTATTGTAAGTAAAGAGCAATCAGTTCAAAAGAAGATACGACCTTTTTTGAAAAAGAACTAGAGGAGCTGATAAACATTTGGCAATGGATTTTAAAGGATAAAATAGAGCATCAATCATTTAAAACATCAAATTTAAGTGATGTTTTAAAATGTGGTGTGACAGAAAATGATACTGGTAGTTTATATTTGACTATACAAAAATCTATTAAAAATAAAATAGGTGTTGGCATCCCTTCAAAATTTAACAAGGAGACTTTTAAGAGATTTCTTTTTTTAAAAGAAAAAGAGGTGGTGGGGATGTCCATTACTTTTTTTCATCTTTCAAACATCTGCTGGTTTAAATAAGAATTATAGGCATTTCTAACTCCTCCACAAGATGGCGAGCTTTACTGGATTTCTTTTGGATAAATGGCAGTAGTTGTGCATATTTTTTTTAAAAAGCTCAGTGGTAGAAATGCACTCAAGGCAGGAGGGATTTCATATGGAAAAATATAAACATAAAATTGTTCTTATTGAAGGCCAGGGAACATCCCCCAGAGGAACCTATGCATTTTTCTAGGATATCAGAGTTGGGTAGGGCAACAGATTATGATATCCAATTTCAATACTTATTGACTAAGATAAGATGACAGCATAGATACCATATTTGCTGTCATCATTGTTATCCAGATTTTTGCAGCCCAGATCTGATTGTCCCAGGACACACCCAATGTGTCACTCCAATAGAATATCCTAAACTACCATTGCTTCCATTCCTTACTAAGAATAAATCCCAGTAATTGGTGCAGGCCTGCTTCTTCATGACCTTCTGCAATCCTGTCCTCTATAGATGTATTGAAACTACAACTTTCAAAATTCCTAGGTAGTGCGTAAAATAGGTTGACAGTAGAACAACTGAATCTAGATCCTGAAAATCTATTTAGTCGTGTCACTCACTAGATAGCTTTAGGAAGAGTCATGCTCTCCTTATATAAGCAGAAAACATTTTTTTTCTTAGGTTCCACAAAAAAATATTCAGCCAATGGGCTGTGTTGAAGAAGGAACTCCTATTGACTTCTTTCTTCCTTATTCTTTCTTTACTTCATGCATGTTCACATGCCTCCCTGGACAGTTAATTATGTGGCTCCGCAAGATAATACAAATATTAAAAAAAGAAAGGAAGTTTGTTATTTATATAGATTAACTATATTATATATATTATATGCGACCTAAGACAATTCCTTTTCACTCAGTGCAGCCCAGGTAAGCCAAAAGGTCAGACAACCATGCTTTACTTGGTTCATGTATATGAAAAAAGAAAAATCAATGATCTTCCATATGTTTTTATTCATATCATAATCAAAGATTTGCTATTATTACAAAGAAATGAATCATATTATTAATGCTGAAGAAGAGATATTAAATTATCTTATTTTCAATCACTTGCTACCAGAGTATGGGGATCCCAAGGTTTATTTCTACCAAGCAAGATGTTTTCTTTTGAACAACAGATCTTCATTCCCTATCGGTACTTACTTTCACCCTCTATTCTTTAAAAGAAAAAGATAAATTTTAGGCAAAAGTTCTTTGACATGACTTGAAGAAACATCCATTCTTTAACTTATTCCTTTATTTCCTTGAGAATGGTCTTGTGGTAAAATCTGTGCTCCCTGTACAGCCCAGTAATAGTAGCATTTTATTGTGTTAGTAATAGCAAATGGCTCTGTTTTTAGTGAATTGTTCTATTTCAATTTTATGAATATTTTAAAAAACTCTTTATGTAGTGTAAATCACCTACAGCCCTATGAGGAAATAGCATACAAAGAAATATGGAAGGAAAGAAAATGTTCTAAAAGGAAGGCTACCCTCAATTGTTTCCAGAACCTTTATGATTTTTAAACTTGGGAATTCCATCACCTGCCCGCCCTTAAAACTTTTGTGCTTGATTTCCAGGAAGAAAACAGATGTGATTTGGGGCAAATGTTCAATTAGTAAACATTAGTAGACTGTTCTTTATTTGCTTCATAATTAATGTAGTTTGTTTATTTTTAGTCTCTTTTTTCACAGCTATTCAAAGACTTTGAGTGGTTTTTATTTTTCCAAAGCCCTAAGATGGTTTATAGTGGCAATTAAAAGTATGACATGGAAAATTGGTTAATGAATTTCATTAGGACACTTATTTTCCCAAGTCTAGTAGCTGCTCTCAGTGACAATGGAACTTCTAGTCTAAGAACTTTCATGTCTTTTGGTTTCTCAGTCAGCTGCAGAACGATACCAGTAAGCAGTTTTGACCTCATCTTCCCAATTGTTTTGTTTTGTTTTAAAGAAAAATCTAATTAGATTTGTTTGCTTGCCTTAAGAGTAACAGTCTTGTGATATCTATATCGGACCTTTGGTCCTGTGTCTAACTGAAACCTAATCTTAAATATTCTAAATTAGTGTTTTTCTTGAAGTTGTGTGAACTTCAACTCTCAGAATTTCCTAGCCAGCTTTCATAAAGAAACACTGCTCCAAACTTGGGAGAAAAATAAATGTTTTCCCTGAATTTGTTATTGCAGCCCTTGAAGACAGCAGGGCCACTGACCTCTCTTTGAACTCATATCAAATGCATAGAAATGAATATATGATTATAGTTCCTGGAGAGTTCAGGAGACACAGGTTGAGGACTTGGGATCTGCATTCCTTTTCATATTTTCCAAATAGCTTGCCCTTTCGCTTTGCTCCCATGCTTGCCTTGCAGTCATGCATTTTTTCATTAATGCAACTTGAAATGCTATGTTCAAAATATTGTGAAAATATGGCAGACTTTATTTAAGTTGTCTACAGCTAATTGTTTGTTCTGCCCAAAGCTAATTAATCGTCACCAGGATCTATTTGCAGTATAGATAGAACTCAGGAAATCTTTCCAGTTTCTTCTGTATTAAGATACCTGTAACTGCCTAAGAAAGCATCTGCAGGGTGGGTGTGGCCTGAATCCCAGCAACAGGGCATGTTCTCTGGAGGGCTCTCTGAAGAACTATCAGATTCCTGCTGTATTAGGGGAGGGGTTATTTTTAACCCTACCATAGTTGTCCTGGGGGGATAGTGAAGAGGGGGGGGGGCAAGTAGGTGTGATTCCCCTGAAATGCCTGCATTTGCCTTTGGACCTAAAGCAGGAAAGGTAGCCAACATGAGCTACCACAGTTGGAAGGCCAGACAGCACGGGAATCTACGTGATGAACATCTGTGTGAGATTATAAGAGTGCTTGAAAATGCAACATTCCTGTAAATTAACTTTTTAACCTGTAGTTAAAGCTTTTTAAAGAGTGGCAGAAGAAGGGGAGGTAGCGTATATTACAAAGTTCTCCCTCCCTCGGGCCAGCAGCAAACAGAAGGAGATGATAGATAGAAGAAAGGAAGTGATAGATCTTGAGAACTGCTTAAAGATGTTAGAAAGCAAATCAGAAGCTCGGTGTTTAACTTTCATTCTATGCCTTTGATTTTCTTGGTAACTTTCGAGAATCACTGAGATTTGCTTTCAAAGTCAGGAACTTAAAAGAAAATATGTTGAATTAATTGTCTGCATTGCTGTCTAGTAGTAAATGGTGCCCGGTAGAAGAATTGACCTTGAACCATTGTGGATAACAACAAACTGATAAAAGTCCTTTAGAAGAAAGAAATAAGACCAGCTGTTGCCTTGCCCTCCCTGGCTACATTATAATGGGCTTCTCAGAATGTCTTCCTGATAGTGTCTTTCCCCCTTTTTCCTATGAGGGCGGAGGGGAGAAACTTGGATAACCCAGACAACTCATACTAAAGGTTCCTTTTTTTCATTTGGTTACTTTGGGTCATTTTCTATCTACTCAATTTTTATCTTTCTCCTTTTTTTTTAAATCTCCTTTTTTAACCTCTTGCAATGAGGTTGTGGAATTAATTTTGTGGGATTTTTCTCATGTTTTTTTTTCTCTCCTTGGGTGGATGAGTGCTTTTTGATCAATATTCTTTTATGTGTTTATTTTTTTCTCCTTGTTTCCTATTTTTTTTCCTTTTTTTACTTGACGTGGCCACTATAAAGAGAATGGATTAATGTAGCAAGAACCTGAAGATGGAGCCCAAGAACAGGGGTCAGTTTATTGGAGGCTGCTGCTTGGGCTGGTGTGAGCGACTCCAGGATTATGATTAATCTGGCACGAACAAAGATACAGCCTAGATACAATAGAAAAAGCAGAATTATTTTATGAACAACATATAGCAGCACAGGAGGGAATGCTGGTAAGAGAAGAGGGAGGAGCTAAACACCAGGAAGTTAAAGGGAAAGATCAAAGGGAGATGGGGAAAGAACAGGAAGAGAAAGCGCCAAGAGAAGGAGCAACGGCCAAAGAGACAAAGGAGCAGAGGGAGCTAAGAATGACTAGATCAACTAAAGCTCTCCATTACTATAAACGGATTAAACTTGGCAACAAAAATAAGAACATTCAACAAATTAGAGAAATTGAAATTGGACATTATATGCTTACAGGAAGTACATATTAGAAAGCAACACGTAAAATTTTTGGAACAGGCAAAACTAGGTAATTTATATACGACTTTGGCTGACCAAAGCAAAAAGGGAATAGCATTATATGTTAGAAAGACAATACAATCAAATAAAATTTTTGAAGACGGGGAAGGTAGAACACTGATGGTGGAAATAACAATGAACATGAGAAAGATATTATTAGTGGCAATATACGCCCCAAATGATAAACAAGCAGAATTCTTTGGAAAACTACACAAAAAGATAATAGAATATGACTATGAAGATATATGTATATTAAGAGACTTTAATGCAATTGTAAATAATGGAATAGATTATTAATCTACAAAGATGAACAAGAAGCCAAGAAAAATCCCACCCAAAACATTTTTCACAATGGTGGAAGAATTAAATTTGCAAGATGTTTGGAAAATAAGACACCCGAAAGAAAGACAATCTACATTCTACTCAAACAGACATTTGTCGTGGTCAAGAATTGATATGATATGGATGTCAACAGAGCTAACACTCAAAACAATTAAGATAGACATAGATATAAGCACATGGGCAGATCATAATCCAATAACAATGACTTGGAAGGGNAAGGAGAGGAGGATGGAAGGGAGAGGAAGAGAAGAAGAGAAGATAGGAAGGGGAAGAGGAAGAGCAGGAGTAGGAGAAAGGGAAGGTAAATAAAGCAACCCAAAATGTACATTATAACTTATTAAATGAAATAATAAATGTATAAGAATGATAAATGTAAAAAAGAATAACAATTATGTGACTATATACTTAAAATGGTATGTAAGAGAATAAAAAAATAAAAAAAGAAAGCATCTACAGAATTTTACAGTTAATTAATTTATTAAAAATATTATTTAAAACCTAATCAAAATAGTAATTGCTGCTTGGGTGGTACTACTTTCTGGATTTTTAAAACTCTCCATTGTTTGCTTCACAGCCTTGCCTTTAACAGCATCACTACAGAAGGAGGTAAAAGTCTCGCAGAAGCGATGAAACACAACAATGGTGTAAATATATTTTGGTAAGGAACTTGAAGAAGATGAGAATAAATTTTACAGAGTTTTGAACATCTTTTTGCAAAAGTGGTGGAAGAAATCTGCTTTGTAGCATCCTAACCTTCTGAGGAGGGAGATTAAAAACCACAGCATTGTCAAATGTCTTTCCGCCATGTTTGATTCCAAAAAGAACTGGAAAAGCAGAGGTTCCACTAAGCTAGATTGATGTATAGGCTAACTCTGAACAACCTATGAAACTGGCAGTTTGAGAAAGGGATATATGAAAGAGAATGACCGATTAAGAGTTAACATGCCCTAATCACGTGTTAATCTGAACATTTTGATAATTTCAAACTAGGAAAGAACAGGGCATGCCCCAGATTGCCATCATCTCTGTCCATCTCCACAGATTCAAGCAGGTGACCTGAAACTGTACCCCGATTATTTGATGCAAGTCCAGTTGCCAGTGTGATTATTTTATATTTTATTTTATGTTTGCTGACATCTGCTTACTGGTTGCTATCAGAAAAAAAGACACCACTCATTCTAACAGTACTACTGACTTTACCCCCAAAGCATGTTTTAAAACCGCTATCAAAAGGACTGAGTTTGGAGGCATTCATATGGAAAAAGTAAAGTCTCCAATTTATTTTCACTATCAACAAGGAAAAGAAAGGGGAACTGAGGGCTGAAGCATCACAGGGAGATGTGATCACAACAATACCCTAGTTCTGGGGAGGCTAGCTTAAAATATTGGCCAATCTAAAAGACAAATCACAAGAGGAAAAAGGAAGAGGAAAACAAACATATGTAGGCCATAATTTTTATAGTTTTATATTTTCCAGAATGGGAGGAGGGAATGGTCACACGTGGGTTTTATCACAGCCTGATTGGTCCAAGGCTGAGAGGAAATCTATAAATNCCACGTATGCAGTGGCAAAGTTCTGTGCTGCTGCAATGTCCATAAGAAAAAAAAATGGTTACAAAAGTATAGTTGTCATCTTGTACCAATTATCTAGACATATCTCTAACAATTTCTAACCATTGTATTTATTCCCATACTTATAGGCTTTTCACCCCGGTAAACCAGGGAGTGACCTTAACAATTTGAGAACATGTATGTTATTATCCACTTTTAATGTCAATACTTTTAATATATATATTTAATGTCAATACTTTTCAATATATTGTAAAAAGTAATGTGTATTCCTGGTCTTCGACCACAATAAAGATTTATACTTATACTATCAAGCTTGGATGAAAGAATGGCTTTTATTGAGAAATACAAGATTATTGACATTGGAGGGTATGATTTGCAATTGGGTTGGAATGCTTTTTTGTGGTAAGATAAAAGTAGGAAACATGATTATTTTCAAAGACGTTATGTAATGAAAGAATTAGTAACAATATGGGAAAGAGTTAAAGGGAAACATTATTTAGAAATACTAATGTGGCTTTCAACAATGGAAGCATTGACATATCCAAATATTAGTAGTATGAAAAATATTATTAGATACGAAGATATCTTAACAGAAAGGGGGGAACTAAAACTAAAACAAGAATTAAAAAAACAAGGGATTGATATAGGTTGGTTTTAACAATTGCAAATACAATCAAGATAACAGGGAGTATGGTTTTAACTTAAGAAGTTTGGAGTTGGATAAGATACTTATTATGGGAACGGAAGAAAGAATAATCAAGGAACTATAAAGCTCCCTATTAAGAACTACGTTAGAAGAAGAAGTGGTTAAAGATACAATGTTAACTTGGGCATAGAACTTTGGCCAAATGATTGAACTAGAAAAGTGGCAACAACTATGAGAAAGGAATTATAAATTAACCATGTCAACAGCCTACAAAGAAAACTTACACAAAAAGTTTTACAGATGGCACATGTCACCGAGAAAACTAGCAAAGATGTTTAAAGACAAGTCAATGAAATGTTGGAAATGTCAACAAGCAATAGATTCATATTATCATATGTGGTGGACATGTGCAGAAGCAAAGACATATTGGACTAAAATAAGAGTATGGTTAAAGAAAATGTTATAACAAGAAATAGAATTTAGACCAGTGATATTTTTACTAGGTATTATTCCAGAGAAATTCAAGAAAGAGAGTATTTATTTGATTATATATGTAACTACAGCAGTGAGAATTATATTTGCCCAAAATTGGAAATTAAATAAGCTACCAACAGANGGGAGGAACCCACCCCTGCTGCTGAGGATTAAAAAGGCATGGGGGGAAAAGAAAGAAACACCATGCCACCAGCCTGGGATCTCTCCCTCCCGTGAAAACAGCAAAACAACTGTGGCAACAACTAGACAACTTCTCTTTGTATAAATCAAGTTTCCTGATAGCTGCAAAAGATGACCCTCTTCCCCTTATAACCGGTTAGTCTGTTCCATTAAAAGACCAACTCTTTTTTGACTATATTTGACATCCTCTTCTTACATGAAACCTGGGCCTTCACAGAGATACAGTTAGATGGTTATTGGATTAACTCAATCCCGGCTGTCTCAAGCAAGGTGGCGGGGAGAGCTAAAGGGGGTATTGTGACATTAGTTAATACATCCTTGAAATTTAAATGTGTATCATTGCCACCTTTCAAGCCATGGGTTGTGACTACCTTACTCTTATTTAAAGAGTAAGGTGGAGATTTTGCTTTTTAATATCTACTATATATTCCTCCACTTAATAAGAATAATGTGATCAACAAGATTTGGGACAGCATAGAGGATTTTATTCTTGGTTGCTGTGACAATTACCCCAAAGCAGCAATAATTATAGGTGGGGGGACTTAAATGCTAGAATGGGACCAAAAGCATTATTTAATCAATTTAAGATCCACTATGATAATGTAACAGGAGAACCCCTGCATTCCAGACTATTTAAAGACCCTAAAGCAAATCGAGCAGGTTTGTGTGTAAGATAGATGACTGTACATTTGGATCTTTGTATCCTTAATGGGTCCACATGGGGCAACTACCCAGCAGATATACTTATTGGGGAGCAGGAAGAAAATCCACAGTTGATTACTGGATAATATCATATAACCTCCTGAAGTTCTTACAGAAGATGGAGGTAGACTCGCAAATGGAAAGCTATCATGATGCAATAATCCTTACTCTCACATTACACCAGAAATCTCTTAAGGGCAGGCACAGCCTACCTACCCAGATTAGAGTCAAAATACCCAGGTAAAAATTAAATGGAATGATAAAAATGCTAAGGAAGTTACTAAATGAATGTTAGTTCCAGAAACCTTAGAGCTACATACATCTCTACTAAGGAATAAGTTTGGAGGATCTTACTTAGATAGGTTTGAAACTAATTTTAAATTTTAAATTGGTTCTCACTAACAGAACACTAGCTCACTCCAAAAGGCCAGTCTCAAAGAATAAAAAATGGTTCAATAGAGATTGTGTGCAATTAAAAAGGATATATAATATGGAGTACAGGAAATGTAAAAATGCCCCTTTTGAGGATCACACTCACTACTTAAAGCAGTTGAAAGCACAATATAAGACCCTTCTAAAAGAAAAGAAAAGTCGGCTCTGAAGGACTCTTGGCATAGACTAATTAA